CTATATGTTTCAGTCCTGTATTCAGGACAGGTTCCCTGTTGACCTGGTGGTTCCATCTCCACACTCTGCTGCTCTAAGATTAAGATTTAAGCAGCTTTGTGCCTTGATTTCACTTGCTGTGTTGGTTTACTTTAAGTCAGCTGGTTGTCTGATACCTGCAGAATTCCATCACTGTGCTTAAGAGTGTCCGAACCAGAATGAGAGTTCAACACGTGTATGTTACCTATGTGTGAAAATTGCCCTGTATTGGGAATTGAATGCACTCTCCCTCCTACAGAGGGATGATCCTGCTTACCTAAACTCAGAGAGTATTATGTGCAGGTTGGCAAGAGGCAAGGCTTAGGGACCCCAGAGTGTGTGTTGGGGTACTGCTGGAGTCTAATCAGCTAAAATCACATAGCTTGTCATTGAGAGCACTGTCTGGCAAGTGTCCTGTTGCTTGTCCAGCTAGGACCACCCAACAGATTAGACTTTGGCTTGCAAAGTTTACAGGAACTGAATGGGAAGAATCCCTGCTCTTCAGTGCTGCAGTGATAAAGTACTCAAACCTCACACAGTTCCGCCTATCTATGATCCGTGCCGTTTGTGTTTGATAAGAAAGCTTTGTACAAGTTCTTGAAGCTGTATCTCTGAATGTGAGCTGCTTTTTAAAACTTTTAAAGCAAACAGAAGTTCCTTTTGTTATAAAGTTATGACGAAAAAGAAGAAAGTTGTTTGCCCCAGCCGGTTTACTTTACCCAAGTAAAATATCCTAACATTTGTTGGTCACGTTTGCCTGAGCAGCAAAGCAAGAGATTCTCATTGAGTGGTTTGAGTACTTGATTTAAATCTTTAGATTTTATTCTACTGAGAAGAACTGTCATCTGCACCAGGCTGGTACAGTAAAACTTGCATAAGTCTGATCCGCATAAATCATTTAAACGCCTAAGTCGTACATCAGTCCATGTCCCGTTCAAGAGTTTATATTCTATGTAGATTTGACATAATTCATACTTTGCATAAGTCATATTAAATGTATGGTCCCAACTGATATGATTTATGTGAGGCTTACTGTAATATAATATTTGAGCTTAGTATTAAACACTAAGGTGACCGTAGATAAGCACAGTGAAAGAGATAGGTTTGAAGGTGGGTTTAAAAGATAGATAAAGAGGGGATCATATATCTGGATAAATTATTATCACTAATGTCCATTTGTCTCTGTTTGGCGTCCTCCATGTCTAACAATTGTCATAAAAAAAACTTAAGAATAGATTTTAAAAAATGAATAAAAAATAATTGTAGATAGTGTTCTTTGAAAATCAGAAAAAATTTAAACGTCAATTCAGTCGCACTGAATGAGCAGCGCTTTGTTCGGATTACATTGTTCAGCTAACCTGTATTTCATTTACTTTGTTGATGGTTTGGGGATACCAGTCATCTGTAAAACAGATCCTGAATGATTCAATCAGATCATAATAGTAGTCTGCATTTAATAAAGCCTGTCAACGTCAAATAAACATTCTGATGCGCTTCATGAAATATAATTCATATGGGAAAGTGAATGTTATATAGGCAAATCCAGCAGCTAACCTATGCCAAAAACAAAATTAACTGCTTGAGTTTATCCAGCCGCCTTGGGACCTCCTCCTGACGTGAAAAGCGCTATACAAATGTAATTTGTTGTTGTTGCCGTTGTCCTTCACGGAGGATAAAGTCTCGGAGCACTGCACAATGATGGGATGGAAGCAAAGCAAGGGCGAAGAGGGAAGAGGTGTTGACCTTCGGCATGATCGAAGAAGTAGGCTTTCAGCTGTGATTTAAAGACAGATATAATATAATAATAATGATCTTGTATTTGATATAGAGCTTTTTACATCTTCTCAACGTCTCAAAGCGCTTCACAGAATAGACTGTAAAGTAAATTGACCGTATATTTGTGGGCGAAACGCCGCAGCCAATTGCGCACAGCAGCATCCCACAAACAGTCGTGGATTGAAAGTGACCAATTTATATTTGTTTTTGGAGGGATTATTATTAGGCGTGTGGAGTAAGGAAACTTGCCCAAGGTTTCGCCCTGCCTGGAATTGAACCCAGGTGTCTTGCTTGCAAGGCGAGTGCTCTAACCACTGAGCTACAGGTCTCCACACACCAAGGGACTGCAAGATAGAGGGATGGAGTTCCAGAGGGCAGGAGTGTAGTAGTTGAACAACAAAATAACTAGCCTAGCTCTGAATTTGGGGGAAATCTGAGTGAGGAGGAGAATGAATGTAAACCAGGAAAATAATGAGGAAGAGTCTACATTTATTTTGAAATAGCAAAGGCAGCACAATGCCCTTGTGTCTACCTGGATCACAAAGCAGACGGAACCAAGATAAAATAACAATCAAATATAGAGCTGCTGATCTGGACTCTTTACGCAGAGGGTAATCAACGACTGGAATAGGTTGACAGAAAACGTGGAGAGGCCAGGACACTAGACTTATTTAAAAAGCAATTTGTAACATTGATGGGGAGATGGAAAGGTGTGTGTTCTGGAGGGATGAGATTGGATAGGACCTTCTTCATCCAAACCAAACTTGTCATCTTGTGACAAATGTGATTAAACATATATAGAATGTTGTTACATAGATAAAAGTGACAGTCACTGATATATTTATTTATTCACTGATACATTTACACCCAATGAATTCACTGATACCCCGGCCAACCCACCCCACCCTCAGCGGTCGGGCCTTCAGCCATTCTGCCCCCACTCCATCCCACAGTCATTTCACCTCGCTCCCTCCCTTACCTCCTTCCAGGTCATCTCAAGACCATCCTCTTCGACCACCATCCTACTCTTACCCTCGCAGGCCTCCACCCCTCCTAATCCCAGCCCCCAGCTTGGGTGCAATTGCTTGACTGTACAGAGCCTTGGGACATTCTCCCAACATGAAAGGCTCTATACAAATATGATTTGTTGTTGATACATTTACATTAAATGCATTCACTGATACATTTATATTGAGCAAATGTGAATCAGACATTGTGTATTCAAACACTGTGATGTCTTTGCGTTCCTGTATGCCTGATAAACAGCACTGTTCATGCTGCGCACGAGAGAGCACTGTTATTTGTGTTCCCCATCCCTGCCTGTGTTTAGCAATGAAGAAATAAAACACGCTGCTTTAGAAAAGCTATGGAAGCAGCAAAGGCAAATTGTAATTTAGAGCACATTCTCCTTAAAATAAATAGAATGCAGACAGTGGGGATTTCCACAATACTGGCAAATCTTTTGAGTTTGATAATTCTGTTTCAGGCATCTGCAGATTAATTCAAGATCTTTTGCTTTTTTTTATGATTGCTGCCTTTCCTTCTTCCATCACTCCGCACAAGAATTTTGATAGTAAGCTGTTTGGCAGCTTTCCCTGTAGTGGCGATAATCTTGAACATGCCAGAACCTGTTTCTTCTCATTGACAGTTCATCTGTAGCAGCATAGGTGTCAGCTCGGCTCAGTTGGTGGTGCGCTTGCCTCTGGGTCACAAGGTTATGGGTTCAAGACCTCAATGTGAGACTTTGAGCTCATGGTCTATGCTAACACTCCAATGCAGGTGAATGTTAACATTAAAAATCCCATGGCACTATTCGAAAAGAAAAGGGAGTTTCTTCTGCTGCCAATGTTCCCAGGATAAACGTGGTCATTTGCTTCATCGCTGTTTGCCAGATATTGCTGCGCTGGAAATTTCTACCGTTTTTGCCAACAAAATACACTTTACAGAAACCTTATGAAGCGCTTTACAACACTTTAAACATGACAATCTTGGGGCTGAGGCCGTGAGAATTAGTTTGCTCTGGAGAGGGCTAAAATTCTGGGTGGCATTTGGTCCAGTATTTGACGAATGGAGATAATAATAATAATTCTTGCATTTGATACATCACGTTATCACATCATTGAGATGTCTCAAAGCGCTTCACAGGAAATACTGTAAAGTGGATTGACTGTGTATTTTGTAGATGAAACGCGGCAGCCAGTTGGCGTAGCAGTGTCCCACCTGTAGCCGTGAAGTGAGTGACACCAAATTGTATTTGGGAGACTTATTGGCCAGGACACCAGGAGAAATTTCCTTCTTTTCGAATAGAGCCATGAGATCTTTAACATCCACCCAAACAGGCAAGTCCAGTTGTATCGGTGCACTGTAGAAATCCTCATATGGAATCCTGGCTGGAATTTCAGCACCTATGTCTTTCTTAAATTGTCAAATATAAATGAAAGTGGTGGTCTTTTGGGAATTCTATATTATGATTGTGAATCATCGAATCATAGAATTATACAGCACAGAAGGAGACCATTCGGCCCATTGTATCTGTGCCGGCTCTTTGAAAAGAGCTATCCAAATCAATCCCACTCCCCCTTGCTCTTCCCCATAGCCTGCAAACTTGTCCTCCCCAAATAATTATCTACTTCTCTCTTAAAAGTTGTTATTGAATCGGCTTTCACCATGCTGTCAAGCAAAGCATTCCATATCCGAACAACTCGCTGTGTGATTTCTCCTCACTTCCCCTATGTTTCTTTTAACAACTATTTTAAATCGGTGTCCTCGGGTTACCGACCCACCCGCCAGTGGAAATAGTTTCTCCTTGTTCACTCTATCGAATCCCCTCATAATTTTGGTAACTTCTATTAATTCTCCTCTTAACCTTCTCTGCTCCAAGGAGAATAATCCCAGCTTCTCTGGCCACTCCCGATAGCTGAAGTCCCTCACTCCTGGTACCATACTGGTAAATCTCCTTTGCACCCTCTCAATTGCCTTGACATCCTTCCTAAAGTGTGGTGCCCAGAACTGAACACAGTCTCTCGCTGAGGCCTAACCTCAGGTATATAAAGGTTCATCATAACTTTCTGACTTTTGTATTCTCTGCCCCTATTTATAAAGCCATTATTTACTTATTTATGTGGAGACCTTTTTTTAAGGAAATAGCTTTGCTGAAACCGTAAACAATTGCAATGTATTAAAATAAAACATTGTTCTTTATCTAGTTGAAAGAGACAAGGATTTTTCCCACCAGCGGAGACACTACAAGGAATTTCGATTTGACCTCACGCAGATTCCTGAAGGAGAAGCAGTAACAGCAGCAGAATTCCGCATTTACAAGGATCGAAGCAACAGTAGATATGAAAATGACACCTTTAGGATTACAATATACCAGGTTGTTAAAGAATATACTAATAGGTAAGCAATGGATTTCAAAATTAAGCATTTGATACTACTCTCAGACTGACCAGATGGACTATGCTCAACAATCTCTTTGAATTTTAATGTTAACAATGTATAATACAATACAGTTTAAAACAACAAGAACAACAACAACTTGCATTTATATTCCACCCCTCACTCGTCCCAGTTTACAATAACAACAACAACAAATTACGTTTGTATAGCACTTTTCACTTCAGGAGGACATCCCAAGGTGTTAGACAGTCAGTGATTTGGACCCGATTTGGGGGTTGGGATCCGAATGTTTGGAAGGCAGGGAGGATAGGGGGTAGGAAGGTGACCGAAGGCTGAAGAGGAGGGTCTTGAGACGGGCCTTGAAGAAGGCAAGGAAGGGGGCGAGGTGAAGGGTGGGAGCATTTATGTAACGCCTTTCACGTTGGGAGGAAATCTCAAAGCACTTGACATTGCTGGCTGCGAGTGGGGAGAGGAAATATGACCGAAAGAAAACAAAGTCAAGGAGCAAGGTCTTGAGATGGACCTTGAAATGTATGTGCAACAGAAGCAAAAAAAAATCAGACTTTATTTGAAAGACAGACGGTGAGTATTCAAGACATTGTTATTTAGTTCTAACGTGGTGATGGGTTTCCACGTGTGTCAGACCAAATAAGGTCTATTTTATTCACTTAAGTTTTGCACCTGTTTTTGCAACAGAAATTGTGAAGATACATTTGGATGCCTTTGTAAGGAAATGACAATTCTGGCCTCTATATGGCAACAATTACACCCGAGTCCAGATATACTGTATTTCCATAGCATTTGAGAGTTTCCAGAATTTGGCAACTTCATGAACAGTCTTAATTTTGAAACAGTTTGTTTTTAAGAATTATAGAAAAATGATTTTAAATTAAGGCTGAGCGCAGCAATTTGCCAAATTCTGGAAACTGAATTTCAAAAAATCTTTGAAATGTACAGCACCCGAAGGAGGCCATTCGGAATCTACACCGGCTCTCAGAGTAAGATGTTCATTCAATCCCATTGCCTTATTCCCATGCCCTCTTAAGGCTCTATCTTTCACAGAGTAAATTGAGTCCCAGTGGAATTTCTCCCTGCATATGTCAGAAAGGGAGGTATTTGAGGAGAGGCTACAGAAACTGATAATGTTCACGTAAAAGAAACAGGTTCAGGGGAGCCCTCTTTGATGTAATAATAAATAAATAACCCTTGCATTCGATATAGCATTTTTCGCATCTTCTAGATGTCTCAAAGCACTTCACAGAATATACTGTAAAGTGAATTGACTGTATATTTGTGGGCGAAACATCGCAGCCAATTATGCACAGCAGTGTCCCACAAACAGTTGTGGATTGAAGTGAAACAAAAGCAGAAGTCGCTGAGAACACTCAGCAGGTCAGGCAGGATCTATGGGGAAAGGAAAGTGAGTGAACTTTTCGGGTCCATGACCCTTCTTCAGTTCTGATAAAATCATGATTGTCAGTGGAAGAGTTGATTAAGGGGAGGTTACAAGGAATATTTTCAAGTGGAGGGTTATTAGAAAATAGAATGTTTCTGCCACAGGGACAACAACAACAACAATTTAGATTTGTCTGGCGCCCTTCACACCGGATTGTGTCTCGGAGTGAGGAACATTGACATAGTTTAATGCCGATAGGTAGCTATTGAGACAGAGATCACTAGCAGTTTAATTATAGGTGATTTGTCCACAGAGGTAGTTGGAAGGAAATTGGAAGAGAATCCATGAATGTTTAACAAGGATGACAGATTGGATAGAAAAATGTACTTTAAGGGGAGTTTACCACTAATATATAATTTACAGCAAGAGCAATTTACATTTATATAGTGCATGCAGAGCATGTCTCACTGTCAACACTGGCCATGCTTTCAGTCACTATGTCCTAAGCTCTGAAATTCCCTGCCTCATTCCCTCCACCTTCCCCCCCACCACCTTTATCTTGCGCAACACAAAATATACGGTCAATCCACTTTACAGTATATTCTGTGAAGCGCTTTGAGACGTCATAATGATGTGATAAGGCACTATATCAAATGCAATGATTATTATTGTTATTTATTATTGTGGAGTCCTGTAGCTCAGTGGTTAGAGCACTCACCTCGCAAACAAGAAACCTGGGTTGGATACCTGCCCGGTAGGGCAAAAGCTTGGGCAAGTTTCCTTACTCCACATGCCTGATAATAATCCCTCAAGAAAAAAAAATTAATAAACTGGACACGTCAATCCACGACTGTATGTAGTACACTGCTGTGCGCAATTGGCTGTCGCATTTCGCACACAAATATGCAGTCAATTTACTTTACTATATATTCCGTGAAGCGCTTTTAGATGTCTAGAAGATATGAAAGGCGCTATATAAAATGCAAGGATTATTACTTATCTAGTCAATCTACATTTACAGGTCTAATCTCTTCCCCTCCCATTTCTCCCTTACTTGGCTCTCTGAGATGTCATCCTGCTTGAAAGGCATTATATAAATGCAAGTGGTCATTGCAGTTGTCTCAAAACCCTTCACCCAACATAATATAGCAAGCACAATGCAATTTGTCCTTAACCTTTTCAAGTTCACACAATAATTGAAAATAATTGGCAGATGGTAAATAATAATAATCACTTTTAAAGGAAAAAGCAATTGTCATTCTTGAAAAGTACAATACAATTTAACTTTCACTTTGGGAGGACGTCTCAAATTGCTTAAATGCTCTGTCACCACACCACTAAAGCTGCATATAGAAAATAAGGTTTAGAAAGACATATTGCCACACACAATATTGCTGTCTTAAAACCAACCAAGGCCTTTGCCTGCACTTTCGATCATCTTCCTCCCCCTCCCTCTACCACACCCTTCTCAACTTACACCCCCACCACCGCCACTACTATCAAAGCTCAGTTGCCCAGTTAGTTGGGTGAAGCACTTTGAGACTCTCTCCCGATGTCAAAGTAACTATATAAATGTGTGTTGTTTTGCCAATATAACTGCAGCAACTGCTTTAAAAGCTGAAGGTGCATAGTTTCCACTCTTGCTTTTTCGTAAGTGTTGGCGGTGAAGAAAAGGATTTTTTAAAAAATAAGCATTCAATTGGAATGATCAAATGAGAGTGCACAAAACTGAAAACTATTCTGGCACAGTCGGAAATGCTTCAAAAGAACAGAACTAAAGAGCATCTGCCTTGTACAGTACTATCTTGGGCAAAACAATATATTCCAAAAGGAAATTTGAATGGACAATGTCTTGATACGTCCCACAGCATGCTTTATTGGTTATTCATTACTTTCGCTGGACACAGTTATTAGTTCAGCTTCACATAACCTCGCTGTAACTTTTATGGTGTCTAATACACATGATCATCTTTATCAGCCCAGCAAGTATCGTGGGAGGCTGGCATATTATTCTGCAAGGCAATTTTGGAGGCGTTGCTTTGAGGAAGACTTGATTTCAGTCTCAAATCTCCTTTTATTGCTGCGTCTGCGAAATGTCACAGAATATGTGGCATTTCCCTAGAGTTGGAAATTGAACACCGCAGCAGGAAGTGATGATGTTTCACATAATTACGTTCACAAGATCAGTTCAGATGAAGAAGCCCCTTGTGCCAATCTGTTTTCATCGCTCCAGAACATCCACCCTACTGTCTTCCCAATACACCATCAAGCTGCTTCTTTAATGAGTCCAGTGTCATGGTCTCAACTAACCTTCCTGGCAATCCTTGCCTCATTCCCTTCATCTTGACCTCTCTTTGTCAGTCTTCAAATCACTTTCCTCTTCGACCGTGCCGCTCTGCGTCAACCCCCACTGCTGTTAAATGTTCTCAGATGCTACCACCCTATAAAGGGTGCTATATAAATGCCAAGTTGCTGTTACTGCCTTCCCTCACCACAGCCTCACCCCTCAGACCGCTGAAACCCTCAGACATGCCTTCATTACATCTAGGCTTGATTATGCCAACTCCCTGCTTGTCGGCTTTCCATAATCATCCATAACTCTGCAGCTTGTGTCCTTTCTTGCACCAGGCTCTGTGACCCCATCACACTCACCATTGCCCAGCTCCACTGGCTCCCCATCCCTCAGAGGATTACGTTCAAAATCCTCACCTTCAAGTCCCTCCATGGCCTTTCCCCCTCCTGTTTCTCTGACCTGCTAACCCCTTATCAACCTGTACTTTCCCTCCACTCAGCTTGCTCCAGCCTGCTCCATGACCACCATCGGGGGTTGGGCCTTCAGACTCTCTACCCACCCCCTTTGAAACACCTTCCCATATTCCCTTTGCCTCACTCCCTATCTTGCCTCCTTCAAGGCATATCTCAAGACCCTCCTCTTCCACCTTGCCTTTGGCCACATTTCTACCCTCCCTGTGCTATACCCTCCCTGATCTGACCCACCCCCCGCCAGCCACCCCCCCAGCTTGGGTCCTAATCCCTGACTGTTCATTGCCTTGGGACATCCTCCTTATGTGAAAGGTGCTTTACAAATGTAATTTTGTATTGTTGTTGGAGGAGCAGAGGGAATGGACAGGAGAATCAGATTTAAAGAGACTGTAGAGGTCAGTGGAGTGGGAGCATGAAGGGATTTGAAAGGCAGGTCTTGGAGCTTGAAGTTGATGTGCTGGAGCACAAGGTGCTTGTGAAGTTGGGAGTAATAGGCCCATGGAGCCTGGTGCAGAGAAGAACCAGGACAATGCCTGGAGGTTATGTGAGAAAATACAATATTTTTATTTTTACTTTTGTTTTTTAGGTCAGCATCAAGCCTGGCAATTATGTAAAACAGGTATTCGTTGGGGAACATGTTTGGTAGCTAATAAGATAATAAGGATAAGAATCTTTCCATTTGATGTAGCACCTTATTAACATCAGCAAGATCTGTCAAAGTGATTCACAGGATTTTGCTGCGAGGTGTTGCGACTGTGTATTTGTAGGCAAGTGCAGAAGACAGTTTATGCACAACAATTTCCTGTAGTCATGAAGTGAATAACTAATTTTATTTGGGGGACTTGTTGACCAGGACACCAGGAGAAACTCCCTTCTCTTTTTGAATAGCGCCGTGGGATCATTGATGACCTCCTGAATGAACAGAAAGGGCCTCAGTTTAACATCTCATCCGAACCTCTGCACCTCTGACTATGCAATGCTTCCCCAGCATTGCATTGGAATGTCATCTAGACTGAAAGTTCAAAGTCGCAATTTGGTGCTTGAACCCACAACCTTCTGACTGAGAGGCAAGAGTGCTACCAACTGTGCCAGGCTGACGTATAAATTCACCCCTACTGGACAACCACTCACCCATAACCTACCTTTTCTTTGTAGTGTGTGGCTGTGTTTTCAGTGATCTCCTCCCTCTTTTAGATGCCCAGCTCAGTTGGTAGCACTCTCGCATCTTACTGAGAGGGTCGTGGATTCAAGCCCCATTTCAGGACTTTGAACTCACATCATCCAAGCTGACATTCCATTGCAGTTCTGGGGATGTACTGCAATGTTGGAGGGGCTGAGCTTTGGTTGTGTTGTATTCAAAGAACATCCATGAAAGGTGACCAGCAAAAAAATATAAGGGAGTAATTATATTGTAAAACCCTGCTGTTCGATTACTCCAGACCTGAGGTAACAAACAAAACTTACTCACACCTCAGTGTTGTCTTGTGCTGTTCTTTAATGATGCTGTGTAATCATGAGCGCTGACAATTAACAGTTGCGTTGAAAGCCTTCAGCACTGCAAAAGCCCATTAGTCACCATCCAGACTGGGGAATGTTTACTTTAGCTGGTTACGCTTAAAGAACCATCACAAGAGATCTGCCAATTAATTGCAAACCTTACAGGAGTTCAAAGAACTCACTGCACATTAGACAACGATTTAACATTTCATACCCTGGAGAGTACTAAATGCATTTTATTAGGCAGTGGTAACTTTTTTTTATTTGACCAGTTCTGGAGTGGCAGGTCATGGCCTCTCCAATTATATGATTGTTTCCATCTCAGATATACCCATGGGAGGTGAGAAATGTTCTCCTTGTGTGGGCATTTTTGGCATTTGTTGCATTGTAGAATTACAAGGGAATTAGGGGATCGGGAATAGAGTGGGGTGGGGGAGAGGAGGTGGAGGAAAGGACTTGAAAGCTGCATAGTAATCAGCATTATCTGCCTTGATGGAGGCTGATATCACTGACAGCTAACGTGCCTCTGTAATGACTCTGTTGAGCCCTCATCTGTCAGTGAGGACGTGGAAGGAGTGGATTGCCAATTCTCAAGACGAATGAGGATCTTGTAATCTTAACACTTTAGCCCGAAATTCCACCCAGCCTTTAGCCTGTAACAACCATTTTGTCTTGAAATCCAAGACAGTGCAGAGATGGAGAAAACTTTCAAATTTCCTTTCTTTTAAGACCCAAGGAAATACAGCTTCCAATTAAAGATTGACTTTAAAAGTTTTCCACAGATCTGTACCACCTTGAATTTTAAGAACAAATTATCTTATGTGCTGAAACCAGGCAGAATTTCTTAGTACTTTAAATGTAAAAGCATTATTTTTATGTTACTCTTTTGTTTTTAGGGTTTTCTGATTGCCCTCCAAGATGTATCGTACCTGAAAGGCTCTATATACATGCAAGTTGTTGTTTTGAGGGAACTTAGCTGCAGCTATTTTTACACATTTCAACCCGAATTTGATAATGATAATAATCCTTGCATTTAATATAGCACCTTATCATGTCGTTGAGACGTCAAAGCACTTCTCAGAATATATTGCAGTGTGCAGTTTGGGGGCGAAACCCGGCAGCCAATTGCGCAAAGCAGCATCCCACAAACAGTCGTGTATTGAAGGGTGGATTTAGGGTGGGTGGTCTATTTGCTTACAATATAATGCAATTTGCATTTATATGGTGTCTTTCATGTTGGGAGGACATCTCAAAGTACTTGATACTGCTGGCCTGGCACCCGAGCTGGGGATGTTAGCCTAATGGAGCGTAGATGGGGAAGATGTTGTCTGAAAGTGTGGACCAACAAGTACTTCTTGAAGAGGTACTTGCTGGTAACCAATGTGTTCTGTCACTGATCTCTGCTTTCTCTGTGGATTTCTAGGGATGCTGACCTTTTTCTGCTGGACATCAAGAAAATCCGAGCCTCAGATGGAGGGTGGCTCGTGTTTGATATCACTGCCACCAGCAATCATTGGGTAGTTAACCCACAGCATAACCTGGGCTTGCAGCTATGTGTGGAAACAAAGGATGGTAGGTACCAGCTGCTCGTAAACTGCTTCAGGCAATGGTTACACAGATGTAGCAGATTCACTGCAGATTCGACTGATAATAAAAATATACGAAAAATAATTCTTGCATAAAAAAATCTTGCATTTGGTAAGCCTCCGTTCACTTTGTGAGGACGTCACAAAACACTTCACATGATTTATTGTAAATCTGTGTACGTTGCATGCGAAGGCTGATTTGCACATGTCAACATCCTACGAAAAGCAATGCAGTGAATACAATTTTATCTGGGCAGAAACAGGGTAGACTAGGGTTATTATTGCTTAGAGCAGATGTGTTTAAGAGGTTTATTGATTGAGGTATTTAAAATAATAAAGGAATTGACAGTGTAGAAAGTGAGTGGCTCTTCCCCTTCATAGACAGACAAGGAGGCACAGCGTTATAGTGTTATAAACTTATAACCAAAACTAAGAGAGTTAGAACTGGGCTTTCCTCATACAGAGGGATGTGAACTGCTTTACCCCTGAAAGCTGTAGAGCTGTAATCAATAGAAATGTTCAATAGAGAAACATGAAATTAGGTAGCTGAGTTATTAAGGTGAAAGGGCAAGAAGGCATGTTGTACCTGCTTTCACGTTGTACTGAAGGCTGGTGTAATGGGGTTGCGTTGTATTTAGTGAGGATCTGGAGGTTCACAATGTGGCATTTATTTTTCTTACAATACAATGCAATTTGCATTCACTTAAACACCTTTCAAAATCGGAGAACTTCTCAAAATGCTAAAGTGCTTGTGCTTGTGTACATGGCAAAGCATGTTGGATGGGGGTGTTTGGGGGGCGGTTGTGCAGAAGTGGGGGTGGGAGATAAATAACTGAAAGCAGGTTGAAAAAAATAAGCAACAGGAAGTTTGCCAGGCGGTGCTCTCAATAGCAAGATATGCGGTTTTAGCTGATTGAACTCCTGCAGTACCCCAACACACACTCTGTGGTACCCAAACCTTGGCTCTTGCCAAACTCTTGCCAAACTGGTCTTAATGCTCTCCTGAATCAGGTTAGCAGCGTGCATTCCATTCCAGACATGGGAAATTTCAACATGGAGCTGGCATAATTGTGGAGACCTGGAGCATATTGGCTAGAGCATTCGCCTTGCAAGCGAGAGGACCCAGGTTTGATTCCTGGAGAGGGCGACAGGTTAGGCCTGTTTCCTTACTCCACACGCCTCTGTTTACCTAGCAGTAAGTAGGAACCCGGTTGTTAGTTGATTGGTGGATTGCTTTTTCAGGGGTAATAATCCCTTAAAAAAATTTAAATAATAATTTGGTCATTCAAACCACAACTGCTTGTGGGACACCGCTATGCACAGTTGGCTGCCATGTTTCGCCCGCAAAATGTACAGTCAATTCACTTTACATTATATTCTGTGAAGCGCTTTGTGACATCTTGAAGATATGATAAGGCACTACATGAAATGCAAGGATTATTATTATTATTATTATTACACACGTGTGAAGCTCTCAGTCTGGTTTGGATATTCTAAATCATGACGATGTGTTCCATATGTGTCAGATACCAAAAAAGCAATGCAAATAATGTGTATGGTATATAGGTTTCTAGGAAGATTAATGATTCAGATGCTTAAATATATCCTTGAACTAATCCTCGAAAATCATTCTTCAGAATATATACTGCGCAGTCCCTGGATTTCTATGGATTTACGACTGTGTAACACAATGTGCCGATTCAGGCTGGGGATAAGAAAAATATGTGAACTGTCACTGGAACTGGAAATAGTGTATCATAATTTCCAGAAATGGGGCTAAAGCTTAACAGAAATCTCAGGACCCACTGATAAACACCAATTGCCAAATATTTATCAAAGGGATTGCTGTTTCTTCTAGCGTTAGCTAAATATGTGACTTGGGGGCCATGTAGGAACATGAGACAAATTCAATACAAGTGAATGACTTTCCATTGTGGCAGAAAAAATGTCAGCAATTGCTTTTTCTGTGCCGGTGAGTCATCTAAATAAACACCATTAAAAATAATAATAATAATAATCTTTGCATTTTGATAAGTGTCTATCACAAAGCGCTTCACAGAATTATTATTATATTATATACATTTTTCTTTACTCAGAGGGTAATTAATGACTGGAACAGGAGTTAGAGGGATGAGATCAGATGAGCCTAAAGGTCTTCTTCATCCAAACCAATCTTGTAATCTTGTGATATTTGTTTTTCCTCGGTGTTTTTTGGGTTCTATTAAAAATATGTCAGGAGCACTCGTCCTTGTGACCCATCCACCTGTAATCTTTTATTTCTAAATGTCATCTTAACACTTCAGTAACTTAAAAAGGTAAACTAAATGCTCATCTTAATTTTTGTATCATACCTGGAGCCTTGTGACCAATTGCCTTAAATTTGCCTACAAAATACACAATCCAGTGAATCTCATTCACTTCATTGCTGTGTCTGGGACATTGCTGTGTGCAAATTGGCTGCTGTGTTCACCTGCAAAATAGTGTCACTTTACTTTACAGTAAATCCCGTGAAGCGCTTGAGATAATCTCTCGACGTGAAAGGAGCTGTATCAAAAAATAAGGATTACGACACAGACAGCGTATGCAAACCATCAATTCAACTAAAAGAAACTGGAAATAACTAAGCAACAACAATAACAAATTACATTTGTATAGGCCTTCACGTCGGGAGTCAGGAGGGGTGGAGGGCAGGGAGGAAGTGGTTGGAGGGTGACTGAAGTCGCAAATTGAAATTGACAACATTTATTGAAGGAGCAAGCTGGATCAGACGTTTATTTTTCCCGATTTAATAAACAACCGTCCTTTAATATACAACGGTCATTAATATACAACTGATTTTAAATTACATTTTGGAAGCAAATGTTCAGTTCTTTTAAAATTGAACAAGGAGTTTGAATGTCGGTGTTATCCACGTAGGGTATTGTAAGAGGTCAGAGGTTGTTACTGAGTATGGAACAAACATTGGGATCTTTGGCTTCTTTTTGCTTTATGCACTGTTTATATCCACTTGAGACAAACTGTCCCCAATCTTTCTGGGCCTCAGAGGGAATAAACCATCTCAGCAAAAGGCAAATTTACAAGATGTCCCTGTTGTGTAGTCTTTATAGAATAAACAGAAGAGATAAAATGTACAGACATTGAATGTCAACATGTAAACCGTTGGAACGAAATGGAAATCTCAAGGAAGACATTTTTATGTTGTTGATAAAATTCCTTACTCTGGCATTAGACTGTGATGCAAAACCTTTGCTTGCAATCTCATTTCAATGTCATGCAATAACACTATATCTGCTGACGTGCGTCACCCTGGCTCAGTTGGTAGCTCTCCCATCTCTGAGTCAGAAGGTTGTGGGTTCAAGTCTCACATCAGGGCTTTGAGTACATAGCCTGTATGTAGTACCTTGCATTTGTCAGTATTAAATTTAATTTGCCAGTTATCAGCCTATGTGCATACCCTATCAAGCTCTCTTCGTAGGACCTTTGCTGCCTTCTTTGATTCTACAGTTCCTCCTAACTTGGTGTCATCTATAAATTCAATTATCTTAGGAGTCTGTGAATTCAGGAGAGGTCCCAGTACTTAAAGAAGAGGGGCTTCAAGTTCATAGCTATATTTAAGAATTTGCCAAATTCTGTAAAATGCTACAAAAATAAGAAGACCTACCTTATAAGAGCAGGCAGAATTTCTACCACTAGATAGATATCGAAAAAGATGTCATTTGAAATAACAACAACAAAAACTTGTATTTATATAGCTTCCTTTACACCGGACGACATCTCAGAGTGGTTCATCACTTTGGCAGGAAAAATAAAGAAGCCATCTTTAGTCTAGATGCTAGGAACCTAAGAGGAGCAAAGAGATCTGGGGATTCAGAGCTACAAATCTCTACAAGTAGCTAAACAGGTAGATACGGCAATCAAAAGGCCAATCAAGCCTTGGGTTTTATATCCAGAGAGAATATAAAAGTGAGGAGGTGATGTTGAATTTATACAAAACCTTGGTTAGACCACAATTGGAGTATTATATCCAATTCTGATCTCCTCACTATAAAAAGGATGTAGCAGTGATAGAAAGACTACAGCACTGGTTTTCAATGATGATACCGGGATTGGTAAATCACTGTTATCAGGATAGACTGGATAGGTTGGGCCTTTTTTGCTAGAGAAGAGATGTTTAAGGTGGGACCTAAGAGAAGTGTTTAAAATTATAAAAGGGTTGGATAAAGGTAACATAAGCAGGCTGTTTCACTGAGTGGAAAGTCTCTATCCCTGGGGCACAAATATAAAACAGCGACTAGGGGATCAAAAAGAGAATCTAGGAGGAATTACTTCACACAGATGGTAGTGAGATTGTGGTTCTCGCTGCCTGAAGCATAGTTACATTAAATAATATATATGCTTTAAAAGGAAGCTGGACCTTCATATGAGGGAGAAAGGAATAGAAGGGTATGGGAGGGAGTAAGGAATGAGTGGAGACTCGTGTGGAGTATAAACATTGGCCTACTTCATGTGCTTGATTGATCATGGGCTTTGAGCCAGTTTGGCCCGCTCTCTGGAACTCCATGTTGGACTCCCTGCACTTTGTCCCCTCTCTCCCCATCTTCAAAACCTATTACATTGAAAACCCATCTTTTGAAGGGAATCTAAACTCTACCACTATTAATTGGCTGTCACAGTTCAGCCACAAAATACATAGTTATTCCACTTTATAGTATATTCTGTGAGACCTCTCAACGAAGTGATAAGGTCCTATATCAAATGCAAGTATTATTATTATCTTTTGGACCACACTTTCGGCCACCTTCCTTCCCCCAACCCCCAGCTCAGGCACCCGGCCAGTTATGTGAAGTGATTTGAGACACCTTCCCGATGGGAGAAGCGATATATGAATGTAAATTGTTGCTGCTGTAAATCATGGTGAACAAAAGCTTTTAATCACTTGTTCTTGACAGTCAGTATATATACAATTTGTCTGAAACGTTGAGCTGT